GCGGGGAGGGAGCTCCTGGATGAGGGTGTGGGTGGGGAGTGCGGGTCGTGGAGCTGGTTCTGAGYCCAGTCCTGATCCCKGTCCCGSTGCTGATCCCGRTCCCGGTKCTGATCCCGGTCCCAGTCATGGTCCTGATCCCGCTCCCGGTTCTGATCTCGGTCCCAGTCATGGTCCTGATCCCGCTCCCGGTKCTGATYYCGSTCCCAGTCMTGGTCCTCATCGCTRTCGCCGTGCAGGTYYCGGTTTTGCTCCCGGTTCTGCTCCCGGTCCCGGTGCCGCCGCCGCTCCCGGAGCCGCCGCAGCAGCAGCACCGCGTGGGACATGGCGGGGCGGGGCCAATGGGAAGCAGGCGTGGCCAACAGAAAACGGGGTGAGGCTAATGATGGAGGGAAGGGGCCGGTCCCGGCAGCAGCCGCGCCCCGGTGGCTGCCAGATCCCGGTGAGGGCGGTCGGTCCCTATGCCGGTTCTGGTGCCGGGGGTCCCGGTGGCGGCAGTCGGTCGCTCGCTGTTCTTCTCCTCGGTCCAGGTCCCGGAGCCGATCTGTCCCAGTGGATCCCGATGCCGATGGGGGCGGTTGGTCCCTTTCCCGGTCCCTGTCCCGGTCCCTGTCCCGGTCCCGCTCGGTCCCGGTCGCTCTCAGCCCCCCCGGGCCGGACCCTCCCGGCTCCGCGGCACCGCCAGACCACGCCCATCCCCTGCACCCTGATTGGCCAGCGCTGCCGTCACGTGCGGTGAAGGCCCCGCCTCCCCCATAATTTCTGGCGCGCCGCCGTTTCTCATTGGCCGCCGTGAGGGCGGGAGCGCTTTGTGCCTGACGCGATCCGAGCCGGGGCTGGGCGGGGCCTCGCGGGGCCTCGACCAATCGCATCGCGTTCTTTCGCCGGCCTCGGCCAATCAGCGCGCGCGGTGGGCGTGGCCCCGCGTGAGGCGGCCACCGCCATTTTGTTTCCGTCATCGAGTGCCGGTGCGAGGGGGGGGCGCGGTGAGATCTTGGGGGACCCGCGTGGGGGACACGGAGGGGACCGGGAGGGGCTGGGAGGGAGCGGGGAAGGGACTGGGGCCGCGCTGGGGCTCTTCTGTCTGAGGTGCGGGACGGGATGGGGTCGCGCGGCCTCGGGAACGGGTCTGGMSGGGGGTCCGGACCCRGGATCGGGGTAGGGTGAGGTCTGGGGGAGACCTGGAGCCCCGTCCGTGCCCTGGGGGGTCACGGAGCACGACCGGGGCTGCAGTTTTCCTCGGGACTTGCCGGGGCCTGAAGGTTTCCCGGTTCTTTGTGAGGATCCCGGGTCCGAGGGGTCTCCGCCTCAGAGTGTCCTGAGAGGCCCCTCCGCCCCCGATCCGTTTTTGGTGGGGGGAGAGCTTCCACCCGGAATCAGCCGGCGGAGGATTTATGAAGGGTGGGGGGAACCTTTCCCATCTCCTTCCTTCTCCCCGGAGCGGCTCCAACCCCTCAGCGGGGCTTGGGGCGATCTGGGGAGGGTCTCACCGAGCCCCTCTTCCTTCCCACCCCTCAGGCGGGTCGCGATGGTGAAGCTGTTCATCGGGAACCTGCCGCGCGAGGCGACGGAGCAGGAGATCCGCTCCCTGTTCGAGCAGTACGGGAAGGTGCTGGAGTGCGACATCATCAAGAACTACGGCTTCGTGCACATCGAGGACAAGACGGCGGCCGAGGACGCCATCCGCAACCTGCACCACCACAAGCTGCACGGCGTCTGCATCAACGTGGAGGCCAGCAAGAACAAGAGCAAGGCCTCCACCAAGCTGCACGTGGGC